AATATTATTTTGATTTTTTTTAATGTATATAGATTAAAAATTTTTTTTTAATCTGCATAAAATACAAAATAAGAACGATAATTTGCTTTGATAGACTCATGCACTGCATACATTGATGGGGGGGATGGGGGGACAGGAGGTAGATCTCCAGCTGTTAGAAAACCACAACTCCCATGATGGCTAGCAATAAGACTTACAGCTGGGGTTCTACCTTTTTTTTTCCCCTCCCTGCTTGATACCTGGCCAGGGAGGGGGGGCTATATTATTCCCTGGTGGTCCAGTGGCATTGGCTGCTCAGTGGGGGGGCCGGAGCAAGCGGTTACTTACCTTTGTAGCAGCTCCGGTCAACTCCGTTCAGCTCACAGTGTAAGTCTTGTGGCCTGCGTGCCGCATGGAGTGTTGCCACAGGAACCCGTGGCAATGCTCGGACGGCCGCGGGTCTCGCGAGATTTACACTGTGTGCTGAACGGAGCTGCTACAAATATAAGTAACAGCTTGCTGCTGGCCCCCAACAGGACCGCCGGGCTTGTAATGAGCCCGGCGGTCCTGGTCTGTATTATGGCAATGTAAATTGCCATAATACAGACAGTGACTCGAGAATAAGCAGAGGGGGGCTTTTTCAGCACAAAAAATGTGCTAAAAAAACTTGGCTTATACGGTAAGTCAAATCAAAATTTAATTCTTCATAGATAAACAATTATAGAAACATGGAGAGCACTATGTTCTCATTTAAGCCATTTGGGGATACAGTATTTAAATGATGTATCCAATATGCCTTGCAACAGTGTTTTAGATCTGTTTTCTCCACGGGGTAAAGGGGGGTCATGATCAATGAATCGTAAAGATGGGAGACTATGTCCCATCATCAGAAAGTGCTTGGCGACTGGTTTGTTAGTCATTTCATCGCGGTATGCAGTGTTGACGGTAGAACAATGTCCTCGAATACGGTTTCTAAGCGTCAGGTCGGTCTTGCCAACATTTGCTAGTCCACATGGGAAGGTAATTAAATAGATAACATGATGCGTTGTGCAGGTTATATGTTGCTTAATAGGGTACCTCTTGCCACTATGTGGGTGCACGAAGGTACTCCCCCCAATCATATGGCTGCAGGTGACGCAGCCTGAACATTTAAAGCACCCTAATTTCTTGTTGGTTGTCGGTTTCTTTTAACAATGTACCGAATCTCCTTTGACCAATAGATCTCGAAGGTTCTTGTTACTGCAATAAGGAAGAGTGCCAAACTGCATATATATATATATATATATATATATACATATATATACACACACACATATATACACACACATATATACACATTATATATATTATATATATATATATATATATACACACACACACACACACACACACATATACATATATATATATTTGTGCTCGGAATTTAAATACGTAATGGATAGTATCTGTGAGCAAAGTTGGTTGTGGTGTGCCGAAACCAACGTACGAGTGGGCCTGTAAATAAAAGAGGGCCCACCAAGGATAATGTAGTTAAAACAGGGTGTAGGTGGGTGGGGACAATCAGCTGAGCGGCAGCGGTGAGTAGGGGCTGGGAGTTTAAGTAGGGGACTTACTCCTCCCACAAATTCAGGCCTAATGGCCTTTCTACTTGTGCTCGGAATTTAAATACGTAATGGATAGTATCTGTGAGCAAAGTTGGTTGTGGTGTGCCGAAACCAACGTACGAGTGGGCCTGTAAATAAAAGAGGGCAAAAGATAAATTCGAGAAAATACACACTTTATTGCATTTTACAAGACCAAGTTCCTGAAAGCTTGGCGAAGCTCTTTCTCTGGTTGCGGAATATATGCGTTATATATGGAGGATTTCCATCGCCCGAGCCTTTTGATGATGTGGACCGGTGCGTTTGTGCTAGAGGCTGCTGAGGCGGCTCCTATGCGGAAGGAGTGCCCAGAGAATGCAGCCGGGTTGTGTCCGAGCTTAGATAACAGGGTTCTGACATGTAACATCAATTTTGCCGTGGTAAGCGGGTGCCCTTGTAATGTTAAGAGCGGAGAGTCTGGCAGGTGAGTGTGAAGAGTTGACCGTAGTTGGTCGAGAACTTTCACCGGACACCAGGCATTATCAGTAGGGAAGAGAGGAATTATTGTAGGATGTATTGACCGGTTGGTTTTCGTGGTAGGGATAGAAAGGAGGTAGTGATCCTCTACCTTGGTGAGGTGTGAAGTTTTAAGGCATCGTGTGATATCTCCTTGACAAATCACGGTGAACTCTCTAGGTCTGAGAAAACCGTAGAAAGCGAGATATATGGCAGAGTTTATCACCGTATTGGTGTAGCTATCAAATGGGGCTGTGTCAAGGAGATTGCTAAGTGACCTGAAGATAGGCCCGTCTATGGGTAATCTAGTGCTTGCGAGTGGTGGTGAAACCTTTGATATACCTTTCAAGACCTTTTTAATGGGGTATGAAGACATAAAAGGAGTGCTGTTAGGAAAATAGGTGAGGCTGTGGTGCTGAACCCCGGTGAGGTAAAGTTTAATGGTGTTGTGTGACAGATTAAGGTGTAGGTGGCAAAAAGAGGCAAAAGACACCATGGTTTGGATAGAAAAGTCACCTTGTAGCCCGAATTCTGCAGTGAATTTGTTAAAAATGTTAAGTGCCCTATTGTAAGTGATAGCAGTGTTGGGTGATAATGCTTGGTGAGTGAGTGATCTAGCGTGAAGCAAGAGTGTGCTTAATCCAATATTAGTTCGTGAAACCGTGGTGTCCTGGATGGCTGTTGGTAAGCTGCTGGGAGTGCCTGAGAAAATGCCTGGAATCGAGAACGAGAAAGAGCGTCAGCGGCGGTGTTGTGAATACCCGGGATGTGAGAACATACTAAGTGAAACTGATTGGATGCTGCCAGCCAGGACAACTTGCGAATCAGCCGCATGATGGTCAGGGATGATGAGCGCCCTTTGTTAATGATATCGCAAGCTGCCGAGTTATCGGAGTAGCATTTTACTGCCTTGCCGGACCAGAGATGACCCCAGGTGTGTGCGGCCGCCACAATGGGGTAAATTTAAAATAGGGCTGAGGTCTCCCTGAATCCTGGCAAGGCATCCGTCTCAGTGGGCCAGTGGCCCCTAAACCAGTGGTTCCCAAAAATGGCTGCGAAACCGGTGTTGGCTGCTGCGTCTGTGTGGATGATGGGTGAAGAGGTGGAGAGAGGGGGGATAAACATGGAGATACCATTCCAGTCTTTCAAAAACTTCCCCCACATAGCTAAGTCAGCCTTGGCGTGGGGGTCCAAAGAAACTGTGCCGGAGTCCGGGACTCCGTGGAGCAGGCAAAGAAGTCTGGAAATGAAAGACCTTCCCTGCGGAATGATGCGCATGGCGAAGTTCAGAGATCCAAGAAGGGACTGAAGTTCTCTCCTGGTGCAAACGTCATTCCGCAGGAACGTGTCTATCTCCCCTCTCAATCGTGAAAGTTTGTCGTGTGGAAGGCTGGCTCTGAGTTTGACAGAATCGAGCTCTATGCCTAAAAAGGTCAACTTTGTTGTGGGTCCTATAGTTTTGGCTGGGGACAAAGGGACTCCCAGTGTGGAAAAAAGTGCGGTAGTACTATTGATTGCTGTGGGTGTTGATGACCCTGGCTCTATCAGTAGAAAGTCATCTAGATAGTGAATAACGGAGTGACACCTGATGACGTTCAGAAGCAGCCAGCATAGTGATTCTGCGAAAATGTCGAAAAGTTTGGGGCTGCTTCGAGAACCAAAAGTGAGTCGTGTTGAGAAGTAATAATACCCTCGCCATTTAACACCGTGTAAGTGCCAGAGTGAGGGGTGTATGGGCAGTAATTTAAAGGCGTTAGTGATGTCTGTTTTGCTGAGCCAGGGTCGATTACCAGATGTCATGATGGACTGTATGGCGTCGTCGATGGTGACGTACTGCAGAGAGAATTCGTCTGCTGGAATGAGTGCGTTTATGCTTGGAACAAAAGAGGAGTGCGGTGCCGATAAATCGATAATGAGACGTTTTTTATTAGAATATTTGTGAATAGCAATACCAATAGGGTTAGTGCGCCAGGAGGAAAACGGTGAAGAGGTGAAAGGACCGATCATGAAACCGTTTGTGGTTTCTGCGGAAATGAGAGTGTCTACAGCGACTGGGTCTAAACGTGCAGACTGGAGATTAGGACATTCTAGTGTACCTGGGGGAATGGCTACTATGCCTGTGTGAAACCCTTGTGAGAAACCTGTGGTGAGAAAATCCACTAAGTGCCTGCTGGGGTGAGACCTTAGATAAAAAACCAGGTTGTCGATATTTATGTCGGTTAGTCATTTGTTTGGTGACAACCTGGCTGGACACATGGTCTTGGTATGTGCCCTGAAACATATGGAGCAGATGTGCAATAATCTACAGGCGCTGAAACTGCAGGAGCCTGCGTTGAAATTATTGCACACCTGTGCTTTACCTAAAAAGGAGATGGGCCTACCCAGCTTATCCCGGAGACCACCCGCTGGCTTGTTGTGAGGGGTGAAAGAGGAGTGAGGTGTGAACGTGGGGTGAGGGGTGGGAGTGGAGGTGGTGGGATCTGGTTCGACGGGACATAAGTCCGCCATGTGGGATGTAGAATTACAGATGGCACAAGCCGGGGGCCTGAGTCCAGCGAAGTGGCGACAGAAAAGTTCCGTGTCCATCTGACCCCAGTTCATTCTAATGTTGAACTGCTTGAGATGGGTCGCCGCCTTCGCTGAAACTGACTTGTGGTAGTCATAGAAGGAAGAGCCCCCGTACTTGATGCCTAGATCCACTACCTTGTGGAGATAGAGATCTAGTTCTTCTCTCCTATGGGGATACACCGTGCAAATGACGTCGCGGTATATCCCAAAAGCTATCACAAACTGTGGGATAGACAATTTTTTATTAAGCCTGGGATCCCTCGTTTTGAGCACAACTGAAATGTCACCATAATTGTATGCCTTGTTCTCGAGTACATCCTGAGAGGCTATGAGTAAAGACACCAGACACACATCCTTCCCGTCTAGGATATCTTTCCTGATAGAATCTGGGACGGAGTGTGCTGGTGACTCGAAAGGTGTGATGGCTGTGCCAGGTGCTGGAGGGGGGAGTATAGAGGGACATGTAGGTATGGCAGGTACAGCCGTGGTAGAGACTGGGACTACGGTGTTAGTACCTGAGGAGGAGATGGCGCTCTCCACCTTAGACAGCCTGCTATTGAGGGTCTGTAGATTGGCCAAGATATCTGCCAGGGTATCCTGGGTGGCCGTGCTGTTTCTTGGTGGTTGTCCTTGAGAGCTAGTTCCCGGCCGAGGCTCGGGGACTTGGTGGGTAAGCAGCCTGTAAAGTTCTGCCTTTCTAGCTGTGGCCGGAAAGGGGATTCCCCTGAGCCTAAGCTCGGCCGTGATTTTGGGAATAGTCCATGCTCTCAAGGACGTGGGGGTTGAAAGAGTAAGTGATTCGCCTGGAGACACGGGTCTGATTGGCGTGAATGGTGTTTCTTCTATCAGTTCTTCGGTTGGAATTGGTTCTTGGGACATTCTAAAAAGGAATGATTATGTGAAAGATATATTAGAAGGGGAGTGAGGTAAGAAAGGGGGGGGGTATGGGGAGTGGTGTGTCTGGAAGAACTGGACTTTAATGCTAGATGCCGAGGCGAAAAACTTAACTATTGAATGACTGGATAGGTGAGGCCCTGCTAATGCCAAGTGGCGGTGAGAGGCTCTACCTATGATTTGGCTTATGACGTAGGTGCCACAGACGTGGTGGCGGGATGTTGGCCTCTCGGTGACGATAAGAGAAATCAAAAACGTGTGGCCGTGACAGGTGAGGCCCTAACTAGAGCCCTGTAGTAAGGCATGCGAGGCTTATAACTATGATTTGGGCGTGGGGCCGTACCTCCGTGTTGAGGTGGGGTGGGGGTGGTAGGCCTCGCGGGATCAGATTTCCTGATAGGGTGGGCTAAGGCATTAGCCTGTGCCGTATAGCCAGTTCGATTGTATGCTTAAGGGTAAAGTTAGAGGACTGGAGTGGTGTGTGGATACTAACCTTGACTGGTCGCAAATGGTATCTGGAGCCTCCTGATAAGTGTAGAGAGTCTTGTCTTAATGTTGTCTTTGAGGAAGAATCCTGGGGGTTTAAGACAGATGTTGATGTGTTTATACGTATCGTGATGTCGTATGAATAGTATTGGGGGAAGGTTTGTTAGGGGCACCACGTGAGATCCTGCATTGAGGGATCTGGGAGGTTAAGGTGTAGGAATGGGATGATTTTGGATATGAGTGAGAAGGCAGAATGAGGCCTTGGGGTAGCGAATGGACGTACTTGAGTAAGGACGTAAGTACCTGAAGGTATGGCTGAGTACCGGGTCAGGTTTTTGGTGTCTTCTGAGCCTGATGGCCGTATGACCGAAAGTCTGTGTAGACAAGTAGTAAAGAGATAACGTATCCTGGGCGTAAGCCTGAGGGAAGGTAGTAATGGAGTTGAGACCGCGTGAGGTCTAGTATTGAAAAGAGAGTGAACTATACCTTGGTTTTAAGTACAGAGATTGTTTAATCGTGGCAGGTTAACTGCGTAGAAACGGTGGAAGCTTAGATAAATACAGGATCTAAGGGTTTAACCAAAACAAATTCCATATTTAGCAATAGATGTGAAGATAATTGATAAAACCTGATAACTCAAGGTGATAATAAACCATACCTGTTCCTGTAATAAAAGGACCTTGAAATAACAACTTTATGCAGAAAAGCAAGAGACCGATGCAATCTGTAAAAGCCAAAATGTGACAGCGTGATTTATGTGCAAGGAATAGTACGGATTATGTGTAATGGGTATAACTTGTAAATAGTGTTTAAATGACTTATCTGAGTGTTATTTGGAAAGAATGGTATAGCTTGTATTTAGACACGTATGAAGTTATGAACCATGGTAAAACATTATGTTTATTACAGAAAAATATTTTAAATGGTTTAACAAGGTAGGAAAACACAGGGCTGGTAGTTAACCAGATAATGTAACCAAAAACTGATATGAAGGAATAAATAATAGTAGGATAGTGTGATTAGAACTTATGCATGCTTAGCTTAAAAGAATAGAAATAACCGAATGTAAATTAGTAAGATGGTGTTCGTGAATTTTACCATACGAATAGTTTGGTGCTGAAATGACCGAACAGAAAAAGTGAATACAGATAATAATGAGCTTAAACGTGAAATATATATTCGGTTGTTTCCGTACGAAAATGCTTTAAATGATAGCGAAATGAGCCGAACGTTCGTGCGTTTTTTGGCGCGAATGGAGATATTAACGAAAAGCGTGTATTCGTGAAAATGCGAAAGAGGGAGCCTACCCCTACGTTTTTAGGCCCGAACGGCGGGGAAATAGCGAACGCTAATTCCCCGCCTTGCTTACGTGAACGCGCCGGTCTCGTGACCGGAAGTCGGGTACCTCGACCGGAGAGAAACGGAGTGGAAGGACCTCGGACGGACGGAGGATTGCACAGGGCGTCTGGCTGCTGGAAACAGGTACAGATCTGGCGGGAAGCTGGACCGGAAGTGCTGGTTGCTAAGGACAATCAGCTGAGCGGCAGCGGTGAGTAGGGGCTGGGAGTTTAAGTAGGGGACTTACTCCTCCCACAAATTCAGGCCTAATGGCCTTTCTACATATACATATATATATATATATACACACACACACACACACACACACACACACACACATATACATATATATATATATATATGTATATATATATATATATACACATACATATACATATATATACACACACACACATACATATACACACACACACACACACATATATTTCATATGGAATGACCCAGTTACACTACTGGGCAGCAGCTGCTTCCGTTAATTCAGTCTGTTCTCCTGATATACAGATAAGCCAGGAGAGAGTGAGTATTTTTTTTCCAGCATCTTTCCTGGAATATCCCTAAAGGGATAGAGGCCGAATTAAGGACTGTAACTGCAAATAAGTAGCTGGTGCCTCGGACTGCAACCTCTAAAATCTCAGGCAGATCCGGACATGTATCTCTTTGGCAGTCCTAAGGAAACCTAGCCCCCCAAAAAAACATATAAAAGAAACAAATAGATCTCTTAAAACCTATGGAAAATTCAGACATTATCATATTTCCAAAATGCCGAGAGGACGTTTTCTCATAAAAAACACTTGGGTTTGGGGCTTAAAATTTGGTTCATATAAAAAAGGATGGTAATGGAGGACCTATAAAAGGAAGTTGCAATAGGAGGAGGTAATTCAAATATTTAATACATTAGTCTTGGAAGGTCCATAATTGCTCAGGTTTTTGGATGATTATCAATTTGTGGTTTGAGAAACAACTGATCATGTTTATTGATCAGCAACATGGCATCACAAGAGAAAGTTATGGCAAACAGAGGGTTAATGTAAATCACTAACACCTATTATAACTCATGTTTGCCCTAGTCAGAATCTCATAATCATGTCTGTCACTGCAGCACAGAAGACAGGTGATTGCTAACTCAATAACTTGGAAGTCAGAGATAAGATGTTACATCAGGGCTTGACAAAGGGTTTAAAGGGACACTATAGTCACCAGAACAACTACAGCTAAATGTAGTTGTTCTGGTGAGTAGAATAGCTCCCTTCAGGCATTTTCATGTAACCACTGTTTCCATATCCCACACAATTGTGCTTTGAGTTTTTCCAGAAATGGCTGATGTGTTCAGGGACATGTCCCAGCCGGAAAACAAGTTCTATAAAAGTCTATTTGAGGACACATGTCTACATGGATATACTAATCAGGAAACTCTGCAGCCAGTTCCCTCAACTTATAAAAACAAAACCATCCTGTGTTTGAAGCAGACAGATAATGTAGTCAAACAATTTCACAGGTACAGCTCTATTAAGTAGGAGTTGGTCCAGGGAACTAGGAAAAATGCTTTGTGATTAATAGCCAGACGTTCGTGGTAATCTAAAATTCAGTTGTAATACCTGGGCACGTCGTAAAACGTAAGTTTTAATCTTCAACTCATCGAATAAAAACTTCAGGAAACGTAGAATGAATAAGTGGATACACATAAAAACATTCAAAGTAAGAATGCCTAACACCTGTACTACATGGGTATTATCTTATCAGGGACTACAATTAGGTCTTTAACATTTGCGTTGTTACTGTACTTAGTCTTACTTTCTCTTAACACGTCTTTTTGGAGACCTTGCACCTTTAAGAGTTATCTAATGCCAAGTTAACAGCTGTTTCTTATTAGTACAGAGCCCTTTGTCTAAGCTTTCTTGGAATAAGCAGGACATTAATCATTGGGAGCATTCCATTTAACTAACCCTTTCCTCTTTCCTTTCAATTAAAGAATAAACGAAAGCTCATCTCAAACAAAGGAAACCACTGCGAAGGAATAAAGAGGCACTACTCAAACCACATCTGGGGCAATACCAAGGACAAATATGACTATTTTGTTAAAGTAACAAAATTCTCCAAAATACTTCTAGTATAAGCAGCTTATATAGACTCATCATTTAGCATAATAATAATAATAATTAAAAAAAAAACACAACAACAACAAACCAAACCATTGACAATAGATACACTCAGATAAATTAATACCTGATCTGTACTTTGCACCAGCAAAACCTCCAAATGTAAACCTGGATATTGTTCTTAAAAAAATTTTTTAAATCCTGTATGAAATTGTTGCATAACAGACTGGTTAACATGTAGCTATGCTGCAGACATTCACACTAATTTCTAGAGGTAATATTTGTTCTTTGTAGATGTGTGGCACAGTAGTACCACAAACCTACCCAACTTGTAAAGGAAGTACATTGCTGCAACAATAGACATGTCAATGGTTCTCCCCTCGTCATAAGATTAGTGCCAGTGACATTACTAGCAGTTTGGCAGTGTACGCATGGCACACAGAGAAGGTGCACGCAATATCACAGCCAACCAGGTACACAGGCATATACACATTATTATGTTATTATTTATATAGCGCCAACAAATTCTGCAGCGCTGTACAGTTGGTGGACGAACAGACATATAGTTGTAACCAGACAAGTTGGACACAAAGGAACAGAGAGGTTGAGGGCCCTGCTCAATGAGCTTACATGCTAGAGGGAGTGGCTTAAAGTGACACAAAAGGTAAGGATAGTATTAGACTAATGACAGCAAGAGAGGAATCATAATAAGAGACAAGTGCTAGGGAGAATAGATAAACATAACTTTTATTATTACTAGTAAACTACTTATATACACACACAAATTAGCATACAATAATAAACTCTTTCACAAAATTTAAAGCTCAAAAAGACCCTTTTGCTTTTCTAATTCACATGCATATGCATTGAAGGAAAAATGCTTGCCTGTACTTTTGTAAGATTTCCACTGGTCCCCCTAAGAATCAGGGCATCAGAGGAATAACTAGGAGCAGGATATAGGGCTTCCACATGAGTTCCAAATGTTTGTTAAAAACAGTGAATTTAAGTAAATCATTGATCTATTCACCTGCCAGCCATTTGCATAAAACAAACTAATAAGAGGCGTAGCCAATTAACTCACTTTGGGAAACTTTCAGAAACAGGGAAACCCCAAGAAGAAAAGAAATAGCAGTGATTATTAAACTGGACTATCACCAAGTTCAGTTTGCAACAGCAAACTGACTTTAAAAATTATCACATATATCAATACCTTTGGAGTTTGTATGAATACACCACAATGCATCAAAAAGAAAACTGACAGTCCCTCTCTAAATAACGCTGCAGTAGTTGTCTAACTCAAACACATGAATCTTCCACTTTACTAAAAGCGGAAGTCAATAGCCAGTGTGGCAGGATCCTAACATAGAACTGTCAGGAGATGTCAAAGACTTCAGCATATAAATAAAGAAGGGATCCTTTGCAATAAAAAAAAAAAAAATAGAACACAAAATGAATATTGTGAATTAATAAAAACTAACTAAAATAATGGGGACAAATTTGACTTTTATGATATAAAATATGATACGCTGCATTTCTCAATGTTTATTTATAAATCTTAATATTAACAGACACATGTACAGATTATATTAAAATAGTAAATCTCTGTACATGTTATAAAAGGTTATAAAAAAAAAAGTACAATCTATTTTCGAACTACTACGGGTAATTCACTAAAATCCAGATTTCAAAAATTAATTTCAAATAGGAAAGCAAACGTGAATATAGATGATCTGGAAAAATTCTCCAAATCGGCTATTGTCACAGATTTGACATTCAGAATGAATTCACGAAATCTCAGATTTTTCTTCTGACAGTACTGCAGACATCTTGCAAGAGATTTTAACATATAGGATATGATGCAAAGAATTGCTCTTTACAGATTTGCTATAGCTTTAAAATGAACATTGTATGTTAAATTACTGAAAGCTTGTTTGAAGCAGTTCTCTCTCACTATGATCATTTATATTGAGTCATGGTTGGATTTGTACAGATCACGATCATCTGAACATACCAAACATTCTTTTTCTAGCAAGTAACCGGAGAACTATTTTAGCAAGTTAGAAGTAGGCATGAGTCTTTGATAATGTTGTTGGAGTGTTTAAAATGTAAAAATAGAAATATGTATAACATAAGCTCCACCCAAATCCTATATCATCTAACAGGCATCATTACATAATCTGCAAGGAATTCCCTTTGAATTTAGTATATAATAGACTATCAGGAAGGAAGAGTGAGAATTTACTAAATTGTGAATCATGTATTATGGGTAAATAATGCCACTGCAGCGTTCGGGATACCAACTAGATCAAAGGTCGAATGGTTTATGAATACCTCCAAATGCTCCAGGAATAAAAAATAAATAACTCTTAAAATTGTACAATATAATGTATAGGTTAGTGTAAGTGTTAGGGCTACTTTAATTGCAGTACAGTACAACACAAAGATATACGTGTCTAGTTTGACCAAACCTTATATGAATTAAACTTCCAGGCAATAGCTTGCTATACATTCACACATACAGTGTTATACCCGGTAGTGTTACTACCACTAATTTTGAGCAAAATTGGACATGCATGATCCAGGGCTGCCAGAGAATATTCCTGTACTGCATAGTGGCCAAACCTTTTTTTTTGGTGTGTGTATATTTATTTTTATATATATATATATATATATATATATATATATATATTTTAAAAAAAGGGAATAATTATAAAGGGTTAGAGCAACAATTTAGAGTGCAGTATATTATTCTCTAACCCTTTTATCAACCTCTTTATAATGCAGATGAGATTAAATAGGGGTGTGTGTATATATATACACATACATATATATATATATACATACATATATATATATATACATACACACACACACACACAAATAGGGGTGTGTGTGTGTGTGTATATACACACACACACACACACACACACACACACACCCCTATTTAATCTCATCTGCATTATAAAGAGGTTGATAAAAGGGTTAGAGAATAATATACTGCACTCTAAATTGTTGCTCTAACCCTTTATAATTATTCCCTTTTTTTTTTTTAAATTCCTTGTTGGGCATTGTAAAAAGGTTCCCCGTTTGTAACCTGCAAAAAATAAAAAAATAACTTACAGGATAGCCAGCTCATTTGATTGAACCATTTCACCGGCCCAGAAAGCACGGGCAGGCTCTGAGCTGGTAAGGGGATTTTTATACAGAATTGACATTAGGCAGCCAGGAACAAAGTTCAGGGCTGCATAAGTCATGTGTGCTGGGGCTGGAACTAGCCCCACACGCAAAAGTGCAAAAAGTGGTGAAAGAACCGCCTAAACAACATGATCAGTTCATGAAATAAAGTGGTCTGGGTACCTAAAGATGTCGTTTTAAGAGTATAATAAATGCTGCCCATGTTTATGGACTACGAATTTGTTTACTGTAATCTTGCACTCTCCTGCATCTCAAATAAATCATATCTGAGCTACAGTAAATGTTTCACACGGTTATGTATGCCTGTTTAAAAGCATGTCACAGATTACTCTGCCCAATACATTCAACACATACACGGTTATTCACTGAAGAGAGCATCCAAAGTGAATTTCAAATTTCAGGCCAGAGTAGCCAAACTGAAAGCATAGCTGGCATTTTGGATTTTTTCCAGTTCTGCTATTGTGACCTTAAATTTGAAATTCAATTTGAATTCTGACTTTTATGAATAACCCTAATAGAAGTGACAGGTGCACTTAAACGTAATGAGCACCTATTAATGATATAAAGATGATGGTGTTAAAAAAAGAGAGAAAAAAAAAAAAGCAACAATAATCTGTTGTAAAAAAAATTCCAGACTGGCAGCCAATCCCACAGTACCACAAACATAGCTGCCAAGCATTAGGACAGCTGTGCCCAAACAGGATCCAAGGTTACTAAAGCAAAACAAAATGCCACATGTGACACAGTACATATGGAAAAGCAAAGTGGTTGTTTTTTCTGCAATATGACTCAAATTGACTCCTTATGTTACCGGTTGTTTGTTTATCCTAAATATATTAAAAACACAAAATGTAAATATACTTGCAGATCTGCTTTAAATACGTAAATTAATAGTATTATAAAAATTGTACATCATATGCACCAAAGAATCTGAACATATTAACACTGAAAGCTACTATTGCTATACTAATCTAAAAAAATATGTCTAACCACTACTGACTTAAGAATAGTTTCAGTATACATATAACAAGTCCGTGTCCAATGATGTGGGGCTTCGGTTTCAAGTTTAGTCTGTCTGGAAACATCCAGATTTTCCAATTACAAAATGGTAACCCTAGCAATGGAACATCCATCCACATGACTAAAATTGAACTAATGTGAGGTTTGATCCTTTTTAAGATCCAGAATTTATCAGTAGAGAAACTTAAGGAACTCTTGAATCAGACATGGGAACTCGAAAGCCTGTTCTGGGAAAACACAAACGTATACGAGTTCTGAAATTAGACCAGGATTCCACTTCTGGTCTTTTAAGAGGTCTAAGGGACATCCTTACGAGCAGAACATTTTTACAAGGTTTAATCCTTCAATATTATCCACTTTAACCCCTTAATGACCAAACTTCTGGAATAAAAGGGAATCATGACATGTCACATGTCCCTAAGGGGTTAAAGGGTCTGGTATGCAAGCTGTAAATAGGAACCCAGAAAATCAATCAGAAGTTAAGAGTAGTTGATTGTTTCCTCTGAAATGTAAGATAGTCAAAGTAAATCTTTCCAGAAGTTTCACAAAACAACAACTGAATATTTCCCACCATTAATATCTTTATCTCTTTCTAAAGTTAATGGTGTACATATAAACTCTCCTACTCATCCTAACACTTTCATTCTCTCACATAATCAGCATTGTGACCTTTGGCCACTGAAGAGAGTAACCAGCAAAGACAGCCCCAGGCTCTTTACAAAACAGCAAAAAGGATCTTTCATTGCAATCTGGTAACGCTTTGTTAAAGAACATACTTGACATAGCTCTGCAGAACCTATAAATTATCTGCTTTATTTCCAACAGACCATTTCACACTTTGCATAATATCCATAAATGAATAATGTTCCTGGAATACAAACTACAACATTCCTAAAATTCACATTGAAGGTTTTCCCCCCCCCCTTTCCTTTCTTTAAAAAAAAAAAAAAAAAGCATGATTCAGTAGAGGCGTGTTAGTTACTGCAAACGGTCATATTGTATACAATGGACAAGTTTTTTAAATACATTTTTAAAAACTGAAATCAATTTAAATACATGGATATTGTCTGGGATTATTTTACTCAATTATTTATTTATTTATTTATTTATAAAATATTTTACCAGGAAAGATACATTGAGATTTCTCTCATTTTCAAGTATGTCCTGGGTCCACAAATCATTGCATTGTTACAATTATGGTACAATAAAATACAAAAACAATATTAATACACAATAAATATAAGATTTAACATAGAACAGGTAGGAAATATATAATCAACCATGACAGGTGCATTCTGTTTTGAGGTATGTAGAGAGGGAACTCTTAAAAGACTTTATCATTACATCTAAACTACTGGGGTTCTTCTGCCTTTTCAAGCAGTATTTCAATATTATTATTTTTTTTTTATTGCATTTAGCAGAAATGTATTCCTATTAGGAGTACTTTACTGGAGATTATTTCACTTGATTTCCGTTCATGCATTTTTACTCAACTTCCCTATCCCTTTAACTTCATTCCTTACTATTTTCGTCAAAAACTCAAAACGCCTCAAAAGAATGCTGTATCAGTGGTAAGTTGGCTCCTGGTGGTAACACTACTGTGTACACAGATGTGATAAATGGACACATCATTTTCTACAGCAGAAAGCAAGACTTCTAACTCTTTACGTACCTGTAAACATTTTAGTGACCGTTCGACTTTGTTTGCGAGCTGAACAGATGAGGAGTAGCCATGGAGGAAAAAACTCATGATGACTTGCCAAAAGGTCAGCTATTGTCCCCGATAGGCCAGAGGGCCGGTGTTCCCCTTCAGCAACATTGCAGCCTTCATCCACTGAATCAACAACCAAGAAGAGACTTTGGGAAGGTGACTTCATAGCCAAAAGAGGAAGAAGAACACACCTATTAGAAGGAAAAAAGGGATATCTATAAACACCCCAAAGCAAGTTTTACTGTATGTAAAACATCACATCCTAATTTTTTATATATAGAAGCACCTGGGCAAGAAAACTTGTTGAAATTAATGTTTTACCGAATAATGGCTATTTTTGAATTCCATAACACATTCAGACAAACAAGGAAAGCACAAATATAGAAACAAGGCTGCAAAAAACAAACATACAGTCAGCAGCCGGTTAAATTCACTAGATTGCATAGATGCTTCTAGCTTTACACCGTGAAAGAGGCAGGTAATGGCAGTTTGGCTTTTCTGATAATGCACTGCACTTAAAATACTCAAGATCAGCAGGAAATGTTTTATTCTATTAAAAATTGTCAAATTGATAAAAAAAATAAAAACAATAAACACAATACAAGGCAATGTTAATATAGTCACTTTACCAGTAATTGCTAGTGTTTGGCATTATCCAATCAAATGTTTCTCAAAGAGAAGCATTAAGGACAAATCTCCAGTCCAAATACAGGTATATACATATTAAAAAATAAATAAATTATATATACATATAAAAAAAAAAAAAAAAATACTTTTGGGCTGTAGAAGTTCATATGCCATTTAAATTGTTAATTTTTATTTCTCTGCTACAATGGCGATTTGCTATATAAAACCTATTGTGGGCTACATTTCTGATAAGACTCATCCAACCCCTGGATGAGGTTGAGTTGAGTTATAATATATAAGTTGTTGAGAAAGCAGTGGCCTCACTATAAAATTACATCAGATGTATAGGAGTTGTAGTGCGGCACTTGTTTTGACGGAATACATTTCTAACAGAACCAATGTATGTCTTATTTTTACTTTACCTAGAAATTAGAGAGTTAAATTGAGAGCCTGGCAGCAGAAGCTTTGAAACTGTGTGTAATTCATCCCGCCATGGGCAGCCTGTCTAAGGTTATTATTATTATGATATTTATAGTGCGCCGTCAAATTCCGCAACGCTTTACAATGGGTGGACGAACAGACATGTAGTTGTAACCAGACAAGTTGGACACACAGGAACAGAGGGGTTGAGGGCCCTGCTCAATGATCTTACATGCTAGAGGGAGTGGGGTAAAATGACACAAAACGGTAAGGATAGTATTAGACTAGTGACAGTTGCAGAAGAGGAATTAGTCAGGAGCTATTAACAGTTTAATTGATACGCTTTTATGAAGAAGTGGGTTTTTAACGATTTTTTTGAAGGAGTGGAGACTGAGTGAGCATCTAACGGAGGAGGGAAGCGAGTTCCACAGGAACGGTGCAGCCCTCGAGAAATCTTGAAGGCGAGCATCAGAGGTGGGAGTGCGGACAGAAGATAGACGTAAGTCTTCAGCAGATCGTAAGGGCCTAGACGGACATACTTGTGTATAAGGGAGGATAGATAGGTGGGAGCAGCATTATGTAGAGATTTGAAAGCAAGAACCAGAATTTTAAATTGAGCTCTATATTTTATAGGAAGCCAATGTAGGGATTGACAGAAGGGTGAAGCATGGGAGGTGCGGGCGGACAGGAAGACGAACCTCGCCACCGCATTCATTATGGACTGTAACGGCGCAAGTTGGGAGCACGTAAGACCACTGAGAAGCGGATTACGGTGGTCAAGGCGAGAAAGGACAGTGGAATGGACCAACACCTTAGTCGCATCTGGCGTTAAGTAGGGGCGGATGCGCGTAATGTTTTTGAGATGGAAATGACAGGATTTGGCGATAGATTGAACATGAGGCTTGAAGGAGAGGTCGGAGTCAAAGAGAACACCTAGGCAGCGAGCCTGTGTGGTGGAGCTGATGGAAGCACGGTTGACTTGGAGGGAGACAGACACAGGAGAAACAACACTTGAGGGAGGAAAGACCAGAATTTCAGTTTTGGTCAAGTTTAGTTTAAGGAAGTGAGCAGCCATCCTGTTAGAAACAGCAGAGAGGCAGTCAGAGACACTAGTCAAGAGGGACGGGGAGAGATCAAGAGAGGACAGGTAGATTTGCGGGTCATCTGCATAGAAATGATATTGGAAGCCAAAGGAGCTAATGAGTTTACCAAGGGAGGCAGTATAGATGGAGAACAGTAGGGGACCAAGGACTGAACCTTGGGGGACACCAACAGAGAGGAGTTGGGGAGAAGAAGCAGAGCCAGATAAAGAAACACTGAAAGAGCGCTGGGAGAGGTAGGAGGAGCACCAGGAGAGAGCAATATCTTGTAGACCGATATTGCGGAGGATGAGAAGAAGCTGTTGATGATCAACAGTGTCAAAAGCCACAGACAGGTCAAGGAGAATTAGGAGAGAGTAGTGACCACGAGATTTTGCAGCGAGTAGATCATTGGATACTTTGGTCAGTGCCGTTTCCACAGAGTGCTTAGCGCGGAAACCAGACTGAAGCGGGTCTAGCAGAGAGTTGGACTCTAGGAAGTCTGTCAATCTCGCATACACAATTTTTTCAAGGATCTTGGATGCAAAAGGCAGTAGCGAGATAGGACGATAGTTGGATGGAGAGTTAGTGTCAAGATTGGGCTTCTTTAGAATTGGGGTTACAGTTGCATGTTTGAAGGGCAATGGAAATATACCAGAGGAGAGAGAGAGATTGAGAATTTTAGTGAGAGGTGGAGAAAGAGAAGAAGACGACAGAGTACGGATGAGATGCGAGGGAATTGGATCTAGGGAGCAGGTGGTGGGGCGGGAGGACTGGAGCAGAGCAGAAACCTCTTCCAATGTAGCGGGTGCGAATGAACATAGAACAGCAGAGGGAGTGATGTTAGGGGAAGAATTGTAAGGGGAAGAAGAAAGATGAGAGATCTATTCTCTGATTGTAGAGATCTTGGTAGTGAAGTGAGTTGCAAAGTCTGAGGCGGTCAAGTTAGTAGGTGGAGGAGGAACAGCAGGGCGAAGAAGAGAGTTAAATGTGTGAAATAGTCGTTTGGGTTCGCGGGATTTGACTGGATTATGTGTGCGGATAGACTAAACTATTTCCAGCTAGCTGATTGACAGCTCGCATAAATGACTCTACAGGGAGTGCAGAATTATTAGGCAAGTTGTATTTTTGAGGATTAATTTTATTATTGAACAACAACCATGTTCTCAATGAACCCAAAAAACTCATTAATATCAAAGCTGAATATTTTTGGAAGTAGTTTTTAGTTTGTTTTTAGTTATAGCTATGTTAGGGGGATATCTGTGTGTGCAGGTGACTATTACTGTGCATAATTATTAGGCAACTAAACAAAAAACAAATATATACCCATTTCAATTATTTATTATTACCAGTGAAACCAATATAACATCTCAACATTCACAAATATACATTTCTGACATTCAAAAACAAAACAAAAGCAAATCAGTGACCAATATAGCCACCTTTCTTTGCAAGGACACTCAAAAGCCTGCCATCCATGGATTCTGTCAGTGTTTTGATCTGTTCACCATCAACATTGCGTGCAGCAGCAACCACAGCCTCCCAGACACTGTTCAGAGAGGTGTACTGTTTTCCCTCCTTGTAAATCTCACATTTGATGATGGACCACAGGTTCTCAATGGGGTTCAGATCAGGTGAACAAGGAGGCCATGTCATTAGATTTTCTTCTTTTATACCCTTTCTTGCCAGCCACGCTGTGGAGTACTTGGACGCGTGTGATGGAGCATTGTCCTGCATGAAAATCATGTTTTTCTTGAAGGATGCAGACTTCTTCCTGTACCACTGCTTGAAGAAGGTGTCTTCCAGGAACTGGCAGTAGGACTGGGAGTTGAGCTTGACTCCATCCTCAACCCGAAAAGGCCCCACAAGCTCATCTTTGATGATACCAGCCCAAACCAGTACTCCACCTCCACCTTGCTGGCGTCTGAGTCGGACTGGAGCTCTCTGCCCTTTACCAATCCAGCCACGGGCCCATCCATCTGGCCCATCAAGACTCACTCTCATTTCATCAGTCCATAAAACCTTAGAAAAATCAGTCTTGAGATATTTCTTGGCCCAGTCTTGACATTTCAGCTTGTGTGTCTTGTTCAGTGGTGGTCGTCTTTCAGCCTTTCTTACCTTGGCCATGTCTCTGAGTATTGCACACCTTGTGCTTTTGGGCACTCCAGTGATGTTGCAGCTCTGAAATATGGCCAAACTGGTGGCAAGTGGCATCGTGGCAGCTGCACGCTTGACTTTTCTCAGTTCATAGGCAGTTATTTTGCGCCTTGGTTTTTCCACACGCTTCTTGCGACCCTGTTGACTATTTTGAATGAAACGCTTGATTGTTCGATGATCACGCTTCAGAAGCTTTGCAATTTTAAGAGTGCTGCATCCCTCTGCAAGATATCTCACTATTTTTGACTTTTCTGAGCCTGTCAAGTCCTTCTTTTGACCCATTTTGCCAAAGGAAAGGAAGTTGCCTAATAATTATGCACACCTGATATAGGGTGTTGATGTCATTAGACCACACCCCTTCTCATTACAGAGATGCACATCACCTAATATGCTTAATTGGTAGTAGGCTTTCGAGCCTATACAGCTTGGAGTAAGTAAGACAACATGCATAAAGAGGATGATGTGGTCAAAATACTCATTTGCCTAATAATTCTGCACTCCCTGTATACACGCCCAAAAAGGATAAAAATAAACAAAATATATGTTTCTCTGGAATGAAAATTTTTAAAACAAAAGGCTGCAAGGACACTGTGTTAGCACCATAATATCTTTAGCAATATGAAGTGATCCTTAGAATGGATACTATAATCACCAGAACCACTACAGATTAGGACAACAGACGTCTATAGCCTGTTCCTGTGTAAGTACTGTGCAGCACTCTGCATGGAGGCGCTGACCGTTCCACATAGAGATACGTTGATTCAATGCATCTCTATTAGGAGATGCTGGCTATTTGCCACGTATAGACAATAGCATCCCAATAGCAAAGCATTGGATCAGCTGAGAACATCAAGATTGATGATCTCAGCCACAGAGGCAGAGCCTAGTGTGGCCAACCATAGCAAGACAGGTGCACTGTCCACTTACTACCACTTATTTTTCATCACACAATTTTGTTTTTCCACAGTCTCTGTCCCTTCTATACATCATGATACAGATTGTGCATTTAAAAATTAAAACTGACCTAAAAAAAAACAAACATTTAAAGCAACACTGTCACCGCCTCTACAAAATTTATATTTTACATGATCTTATACTCATATTGACTGTGTTGCAATTTGACACCGAGTGGAGCTGCCGCCGTCAAGCTTATAATTTTCCCGGCTGCAGGGAAATAAAGCTCTTTCTGTGTAGGATCCCGTGGTCTTGCTGGATCCTCCACATAACTCAAAGCTGTATTCTCACGTATACACGAGAGTACAGCAATGACGGCGGCTGAAGGGACAGGTTCATGTTAGTAAACCTCATCTTTGCCTGTGACCCTCCCTCCAGACGCCCGGAGGCGATGTCACTGATCAGGGTTTTTGCACATTTTGCAAAGACCCCAGACTATGACATACCGTCTTTAAAAAAAAATCCATAGAAATTACTAAATCAAACCACAATCTTGCACTGTTATTGTTTAGCTGCATTTGTAATCCTTTGACAAACAACCTAATCAACTCTTGTCTTACCTTTATATTAAGATAAGAGGAATTAAAAGCAAAACATATTAAAACGGATATTTAACAATCAAGTGGTTTAACCCATTAAGGTCCGGACTGTTTTTGCGATGTTGTACATTTGCGACCAGGCATATTTTTACACTTTTGTGGTGTTTGTGTTTGGCTGTAATTTTCCGCTTTCTCATTTACTGTTCCCATACAAATTATATATTGTTTTTTTCAGGACAAAGGGGGCTTTCTTTACATACCATTATTTATATAATCTCATGTATTTTAATTTAAAAAAAATAAAAAAATATGATGAAAAATTGAAAAAAAATACATGTTTTTGACTTTTACTTGAAAAATCTTTTACTCATCTACAAAAGCGAATGAAAAAAACTGCTAAATAGATTCAAAATTTTGTCCTGAGTTTAAAAATACCTAGTGTTTACGTGCTTTTTTGCTTTTTTTTGCATGTTATAGGGCTATAGGTACAAGTAGGATATTGCGGTTTCAAAACATACATTTTAAAATTTATCAATAGTGACATTGTAACACTATTATCTGTCATAAATCTCTGAATAACACCCACATGTACATATTTTTTTTAAAGTAGACAACCCAGGGTATTCAATATGGGGTATGTCCAGTCTTTTTTAGTAGCCACTTAGTCGAAAACACTGGCCAAAGTAAGCATTCATATTTGTTTGTGTGTGAAAAAAGTAAAAAAACTAAATTGAGCGCTAATTTTGGCCAGTGTTTGTGACCAAGTGGTTACTAAAAAAGACTGGACATACCCCATTTGCAATACCTTGGGTTGTCTTCTTTTGCAAATGGTATGCCATCATGGGGGTAATTCTCATTCCTGGGCTACCATACGCTCTCAAAGGCAACGTGACCAACCTGGCCATTTTCAATGTAAAATATTTGACCCATATATTTGACCTTGTAACTTTCAAAAATGCTATAAAACCTGTACATGGGGGGTACTGTTTTACTCGGGAGACATCGCTGAACACAAATATTAGTGTTTAAAACTGGAAAACGTATCGCAACAATTATATCATCAGTAAAAGTGCTGTTTGTGTGTGAAAAATGCAAAAAAAGTAACTTTCACTGACAATATCATCACTGTGATATGTTTTACTGTTTTGAATCACTAATATTTGTGTTCAGCGAAGTCTCCCGAGTAAAACAGTACCCCCAATGTACAGGTTTTAGGGTGTCATAGAACGTTACAGGGTAAAATACAGTGCTAGCAAATTAAATTCTCTGGAATTTCGGCCTGGGTTGGCAGGCAGGTCCCTCAAATTGCAATCAATAAAAGTACTGAATTATGTAAAAATATTACATAAATACGCACGTAGAATTTAAATATATATGCATATTTATATATTTGAAGTCTACGTGTATATTTATATAATTATTTATGTAATTTTGTATATGGGCGTATGTATATTTCTTATTATTTTTATTTATTTTTATATACATAGATATATATACAAATTCATTTTAAGTGTATTTTGATATAAATATATATATATTAATTTTAAAATACAGTTAGAATAAAATTTCATATAGCTATATAATTTTTTTTTAATTTTTTATTATTATTTAAAAAAAAAATTATTTAATTTAAATTACTTATTATTTATATTTTATAATAATATATATATATAATATATATAGTTATTATATATATTATATATATACGTGTGTAATTTAATTATAAGTGTATTTTTATATTAATATAAGTACATATTAATATAAAAATACACTTAGTATGGCATTATATATATGATATATAGACATATATTATACAGATATAATATATGTCTATATATCATATATACACATATATAATTATTTTTTTATTTTTTATTAACACTAACTTTATTTTTTTAATTGATTTTACACTAGCAGGGAGACTGCCTGTCAGCACAGGCAGTCCCCCTGCAGGCAGACACATGGACACCTATTGTGACCATGTGATCGCTCTGTTAAGCGATCACATGGCAACAGGGGTCCTAATCTGCCGTGGGGAGACTGTCTGGGCTGCAGGCAGTCTCCCCACAACCGGAGCCACGCTGATCGCCGCCGGGGGAACGACGGCGATCAGGTAAGTAGCTCTGACCGTTTGGACGGTTCAGGACCGTCATCGGTCGGCAAGCCAAAAATGCAGATGACGGTCCTGAACCGTCCTCGGTCCTTAAGGGGTTAACCCCTTAAGGACCAAGCTTCTAGAATAAAAGGGAATCATAACATGTCACACATGTCATGTGTCCTTAAGGGGTTAAAGTAACTCAAGCCTCTACATGAATAATCTTAATTAAAAAAAAATTTGCCTGAGGGTGATCTCATTTTTCTTAAGAAACAAACAAACAAAAAAAATAAAAAAGACTGCATGAACAAGTTATTACTATGTTACAACATGGGGTGAGAACACAAGTGAGGAGAAGCAAAAAAAAAAAAAACATGCTTTCATATGGCAATAGCTGCCTTTAATGGGACACTATAGTCACCAAAACAACTTTAGCTTAATGAAACAGTTTTGGTGTATAGGTCATGCCCCTGCAGTCTTACTGCTCAATTTTCTGCCATTTAGGAGTTAAATCCCTTTAAGAACCCTAGTCACACCTTCCTCCATGTAAATTACACAGCCTTCCTAAACACCTCATGTAAAGAGGCGGTTTGGGATTTCAGGTGGGCGGTGGTGGGTTCTGCAGAAAATGTGGACCAAGGATGACAGGCAAGATCCTTTAATCTCCCCTGCCGGCCCATGCAGAGCCATCCTTGCTGTAAACCCTCTCAGGCTGGTGAGGAAATCAAAGATCTCCCTCATAGGCCCGCTCGCACTTGGTTCCAGCAGAGAGAGGGAAGGGCATGGGAGGCTCTGTGTTCCTCCCACAATTAGACTGGTTGAATTGCTGTTGCGCGTTACCATGTCAATGCTCTAATACAGTGCTGTGCTCGCAGGAGGACAAGAAAGTCAGCCTGCAGCCAGAGTAGCTGCAGGCTAAAGTGAACATGCCACCACTGGACCACCAGGATTTGCAACATTATGTCTACCCACCCTCCTCACTCACACACTGCACCCCTCACACAAACACACAAAATCCACCCTTCACGCACCCTTCTCACACACACCGCACCCCTTTCACAAATTGCACCTCAGACAGACACACAGCACCCCATACCCACACAGTACACCTCTCACCCACACACAGCACCATGTATACAAACAGCACCTGTCACACATACTACACCCTTCACACACAGCACCTCACAGACACACATAGAAAAAAAAAAAAAGGAAAAATAAAATAAGCTGAAAAGAGACTTGCGTCCATTAAGTTCAGCCTTCCTCACATATGTTTTTGCTAGATCAAAGAAGGCAAAAAACCTAGTCTGAAGCGCAATTTTGCAACAAACTAGGAAAAAAAATTCCTTCTTGACCCCAAAATAGCAGTCAGATGTCTCCTTGGATCAAGCAGCTATTACCTCACTAATTAGAAAGTATATCCCTGTATGTTATGTTTTTGCAATTATTTATCCAATTGCAGTTTAAACATCTGTATAGACTGACAAAACCACCTCTTCAGGCAGAGAATTCCATATCCTTATTGCTCTTACTGTAAAAAAAAACCAAAAAAAAAAAACCTTTCTTTGCCTTAGATGAAATCTCCTTTCTTCCAGCCTAAATACATTTAAATAAATATATATATATATATATATATATATATATATATATATATATATATATATATATATATATATATATATATATATATATTTTTAATTTTTTTAAAAACCTTCCTTTCTAAAAATGAGTTACTGCTGCACTGGTGGGCGGTAAGGAAATTTTACCATTAACAAAGATACAAAAGTGGGCGGTAGGTATTAAAAGGTTGACTACTCCTGATCTATACTAAAACTGCTTCATTGAAGTAAAGTTGTTTAGGTGATTATAGTGTTCCTTTAAAGTCAGAAGCGCTGTTCTGTCAAGTCAGGGATTTAATAAAGGTCTTATTTATTAGACCAATGCTGATCTATGGAGATTACACATGCACCTGTCAAATTGATCATTGTAAAATTAAATAACTAAATCAAAATGTCTGTCTACACTCCTTAGGTGAGGGGTAGTCAACCTTCAGCACTCCAAAATGCATGTACAGCAACTATCATAATGTGCCTTTATTGCTAAAAGGCTGGCAAAGCATCAGGGAAGATGTAGTCTACAACATTGGGATTGCTAAAATTTGCCTATGCATGCCTTGGACCACGTAGTGAATAAAGTAGGCATAAGGCAAGCAGCTTTTTTGCCAATTTTAATATTTTCTGAACCCTTTAGTTTTTGTGACTAAATGGCCCTGTTCTGTTGAGCGTTACAAAGCAATCATTAATGGTTGCATATTGACTTGCCCCTCCCCAGTAAAGTCAAGAGATGAACTATTGTGTAATAAGATGCAATCTATTTGTTTAAGACAAATCCAGCAATAGCTGTTAGCTAGTTGCCTTTGGTATATTAAAAAGATAGAAGATGAATCCGTAAAAATTTGGAGAGTAATATGTATTCTAAGAATGTTTTTTTTTTTTTTTACAAAAGTATTAGTTATCACAATTATTTACTAAATTGAATTCAAAGTTAATTTCAAACGTTATGCCAAAACTGATAAATTAGAAAAATGTTATTCTGGTGTGCAAAAAAAGTTGGCCTTGGTAACAGTTTAACCACCTAAAGGCAAAATGTTATTGGGCGAGTGTTGCTATATGTACAGTGCAATATTCCGCTACAAAATTTCAGGACTGCTTTAATTAACAGTGTGACGGACCGCCTGCCACCTTCACCGGGTACCTCTGTCAATCGTTGCTCCTAGTGCTCACCAAGGACTCCAAGCACTCCACCAGACACCATCAACACTGTAGCCCCCTGGCCGCCGTAGTTTGGCTGGGGGTCTCGCCATTCCTTCCCACCCTGGACCAAACTCCTGGATCCAGCTCCCAGTGGGAAGGACTCTCCTTCAAGAGAACAGCTGTGAAGCTCTTATAAGAGCTAGTGATATAGCATGTATAGCAGGTCCCTACAAGCACGAGGCGAGGCTCTATGTTGAGCGTAAAGCAGGACTCAATTTTAATGGTGCCACACTGGTCTTTTATGACAGTCCCCATGCAAGGGGTACGCCCACATGGACCTTGTTGGGGCGAGGGACACAAACTTACAAACCAATAATAACCGAGTTACAATGCATGACACTCCCACATACAATAAGCCTTCCCCTTTACTTAGGAGATAATTGAGTCAAGCACTATACTAAACTCAATTATCTCAAAACACAAAAAACACACAATTTTACAAAAACCCCAAAATACCTTAAAAACACAAAATCCCCATAAACGTTACATCCCCTGATAGCCCTGATCTGGGTGACCAACATATCCAAAAATCACCCAGATCAGTTCAAGGGTTCTGAAATCTTATGGACGTCATTGGTTTTACCGACTGCAGGCATGGTCCCATAGCTGAAAATAGTTCCATAGAATCGCAGCTAAATGCCGCTGGGGAACTGCAAAGTTTTCATACCGAAAATAGTTTCAGGGCATTCGTGGCTAAGTTCCCCTGAAGTCTATTCACGGTTTTGGTCCATGTGAACAAGATGGCCGCCACCACGAGTTCAAATGCCATTTCAAATGGCTCCGGAAGTTCGAAGTGCCGCTTCAAAAGTTTGAATTGTTCCTGTTACAAGTCCCAACAGGCACAAATAGCGTTTTCAAATACGATTTAACACAGGGGCCATAGTCACAGGGTAAGAGGCTGGTAAGTATGCCGATCCAAGGTCTAGTTCGTCACAAACAGCACTAAGGACATTCAGATTATTGCAAAGTGTGTTCAACATTCTGAAAAGTACACCATTCCTCTATAACAGAGAAACAGAAACTTTTTTTTCTCTCAATTGGTAATGATAGAACAAGTCACTCTAAGTACCAAAAGAACTTTAGCTTAATGAAGCAGAATTTGGTTTATAGATCATGTCTCTGCCTTCTTATTGCTTACTTCTCTGCCATTTAAAGGCTAAATCACTTTGTTTATGCAGCTCCTGTGTGTGATTAAAGTTCAATTAATAAAGCAGGAGATAAAAACTTTTCTAAAGTAAACACCATGTGTGGTGAAAATTAAACATTAATGGATACTGCATGAGTCATAGCCAGGGCAGGTGTTGACAGCATTGCAATAACAGTAATTGAACTCATAAAAGCAAAACAAATTAGCAGTATGATTACCAGGGAATAATCTCTACACCAAAATGGCTTTATGACGTCCTGAAAACTTAAGAATCCAACTAAGAGGTAAACTTCTAGGACCAAACAACCACTCAACCACCAAGTGGCTTGGCATACAAGCTCACAGAATTCTTTGCTACTTCTGGAAGCAATATTAGCACAAAAATGATTTGTTGGCATATTCAAGAAACTGATTTCAAAGACAATAAAGCCTTATGAAGCTTAAAGGACCACTCTTGGCACCCAGACCACTTCAGCTTAATGAAGTGGTCTGGGTGCCAGGTCCTTCTAGGGTTAACCCATTTTTTTTTTTATAAACATAGCAGTTTCAGAGAAACTGCTATGTTTATGAATGGGTTAAGCCTTCCCCCATTCCCTCTAGCGGCTGTCTCATTGACAGCCACTAGAGGCGCTTGCGTGCTTCTCACTGTGATTTTTACAGTGAGAGCACGCAAGCGTCCATAGGAAAGCATTGTAAATGCTTTCCTATGCGACGGGCTCAATGCGCGCGCGCAGCTCTTGCCGCGCGTGCGCATTCAGCCCAGAAGGAGGAACGGAGGAGGAGAGCTCTCCGCCCAGCGCTGGAAAAAGGTAAGTTTTTAACCCTTTCCCCCTTCCAGAGCCAGGCGGGAGGGGGACCCTGAGGGTGGGGGCACCCTCAGGGCACTATAGTGCCAGGAAAACAAGTATGTTTTCCTGGCACTATAGTGGTCTTTTAAAACCTGGACCAGCAGAAAATGTTCTCCTGGGTGATGAATCACTATATGGATGATCAACAGATGGTATATGCGTAATAAAGGTCTTTGCGGTTTTCACAGAGAGGCATCAATGATACATCACACAGTGAAAAGATTCCAACTTCATGCTAATAGATTAGAGACGGCCCTTTCATGTTATGGTATGACAAGGTTTCTCGCTGGACTGATGCCCATACTGAAATTGCAGGGAAATGGTATAGAGGAATGTGATCCAAACCCAGCCCGCTCAGAACTGGAACACTGTACCTGGCCTTGTTGCCATTTCAAAACCTGACATTACTAATGTTTATAGTTGAATGGAAGCAAATCCATGCAGCATTATTCTAACATTTAGTGGAAGGTCTTGATGATGAATGGAGGTTGATAGGTAAGTAAAAAAAAAAAAAAACTTCATTTTAACAGCCTTGAGAATGGAATGGGATTCTTGACAAGCAGGCTCCAACATAAACAAATGAAGGAATCAATTTATTTATCAATCGACTTGGGCTGTTGATTACTTCTCCACATTAAGAGAAGAGTATATTTAAAGTCGAACACAGCCTGAGGGTACAACATTGACGTGGACTACTGACAGATGATGAGCCAGGAGCTGAAGAGGATCCACAATTTGAAGACAGAGGTGGCCCTAAAGGACAGCTCAAGTAAATTAAACTTACCTGCTCCTGCCCCGCCAGGCCACCGCACTGCAAATGGCAATGTCACCATTGAGGTTATTTGCAAAATATCCACAACCACATACAGTGACAGAGCCTCTTTAAGAACATGGCTATGAAGGCAAGCAAAACTTTGGAGCCAGACTCCTCCAGTTCTAACAGTCTTTGCTGAAACTGGTCCGGGATAACCTCCAGCAAGATTTGCATTATCTTTATTTGGTCTGGAACTGCAGGCACCAAATAAAACAGGACATTATTAGATAAAACATGTATCTAACTCGTAGAAATGTATGTCTTTCAAGGCCACCCATCTATTAAGAGCCCTTAACTGAATCCAGTTTTAAACACTAGACAAGGAACTTTTATTCTAGTTTAATACCGGACTTGCTAAAGGTTGAAACATTGATAAGAAAAGCTACACGTTTTACTTAAAAACAAAGCAATTTGCAGTGATGGTTACTGCACCTTTGATATTGGTATTGGTGAACGCAGAACAATATAATCTAAAGCAATGGTCAGCGACCATTTGCACATGAGGGCCAAATGCAATATCTGTAAATGTATGAAGTGCCACATTCACCTACATAGCTAATAATTAAGTGAACACTAGATCTCTCTATAGCTTGGCTTACTTGTGAATAATTGCCGTGTTTAGGGATGCCAAATTAGAGCGCTATCTACTAAACAACTGAACAATCAAAATTAAAAAAGGAGTTTTCCTAATTCTGATCTTTCAGATTTTTTTGTAGATGGTATCCTCATGTGGGATTACCGTATTAAAAGATACCAAACTAGGGAGCTATATACGAAACACTTACACATTTTCACACGTTTTACTTTTAGGAGATCCACACTGCCTCCCTACCTGTGCCTGTTAGAGCTGGAGTGAATCCTCTCCCTATGTCCATTGTGCATTTCCTGCACAGTTCCCGGCTACATTATTTAGTGATGTCGACGCAATATCATTACCCGGCTGCCAGCAAACTACAGGGCGTGAGAGGGAGCTGTGCAGGATGAGCACAGTAAGAGCATAGCTCTCTTGTCGCCCATTTACCTCCCGCAAGTATATTTGAGAGGAGTACAGTATATACTCGAGTATAATTCGAGTTTTTCAGCACATTTTTTGTGCTGAAAAACCCCCACTCGACTTATACTCGAGTCAAGGTCTGTATTATGGCAACTTACATTGCCATTATACAGACCAGGACCGCCGGGCTCATTACAAGCCCGGCGGTCCTGTTGGGGGCTGGCAGAGAGCTGTAACTTACCTTTCCTGCAGCTCCTGTCAGCTCCCTTCTCTTTCCTCCGGTCCGGTCAGCTCCACTCCTACACAGCCCATCCACTGGACTACCAGGGAATGAGAGCCCCCCTCCCTGGCCAGCTAACAAGCAGGGAGGGGGGACAAAAATAAATAAATTAAAAATTAAATAATAAAATAAGAATAAAATATAAAAAAAATAATAAAATAAATGTATAATATAAAAAAAAATATTAAAATAATAATTAAAAAAATAATAATAATAAAAATGCCCACCCCCCACCAAGGCTCTGCATCACATACACAAACACACTCTGCATCACACACACTGCACTCATACACACACAGTGAAAATAAATATTCAATTAATACAATTTTTGGGGGATATTTTTTGGGATATAATTTTATTTAGAAATTTACCAGTAGCTGCTGCATTTCCCACCCTAGTCTTATACTCAAATCAATAAGATTTCCCAGTTTTTTGGGGTAAAAGTAGGGGTCTCGACTTATATTCGGGTCGACTTATACTCGAGTATATACGGTAGGTACCGGTCATGCAGGTAGGCAGGTTCTGCATTAGGCTTGTGCTTATTTTTTCATGTGAATTTGCGGGCCTTATATAGGTTGCAGACAGCTGATCTAAATAAAATGTAATGGCTTTCAGTTATATATTGCAACACATTTGTGAAAAAAATAAAAAAAATGTTTTTAAGAATCCTTTGGAATATTGGAAGGATGGTCAATAGACATACAAGATTTCATCAGCATATTATTTTTTTTTATATCAGAGAGTCCATACAACTGCATCAGTAGTAAGCTCTGCCACAGTTTCTTTTCAACAGCAGTGAGTGAAAGCAGATTTCAAACCTAATCCATTAAGTTGATCCTTTCTCACATCTGCTAAAGTGTTCAGAAACAAGATGTGAGTCTCTAATAGCAGGGTGTGTAAAAGACCAAATAAAAAGTGACAGCGTGAGAAGCTGTCGCCGACCCCTGACATTACAGCTATACATATGCATTTTACACGCACTACATTTATGCATCCATTGGACAACCGCTACAATCCTGTGTATGGTTTACAGTACTCAAGGCAGATACACTTGCCTTTTATTAACCCTACTTGTCTGTATTAAGCTACTGTGAAACAGGTGTGGTTTTCTAATGCCCCTATTTTGCAGGAACAATGTGTATTGAAATCATTTATCGCATTAAAATGTTTTTTTTTTTTTAAATAACTGAAAAGTTTAAACAGGAACGACTGAGTTTCAGACTGAGTTTCAGATACCAGACCAAAGGTCAGTTTCAAGCCAGGAAGCCCTCTAGTGGCTGTAAACATTGCAGTTTATCTGGAATTGCAATTTTTAACATTGCAGCACTAAGGGCAATAGAGACACTGTACCCAGACCACTTCAATGAGCTGAAGTGGTCTGGGTCCCTACAATGTCCCATTAATTGATACTTGTACTTTTTTTGCATATATGTAAAACACTGATCACTACTGTATTTTTAGTGTGTATATTGTATAAAAAAACATATTTTTGCTTAATTCTACGCCAACATATCAATACTGTGGGATATTATATTGAGGGTATTGATTACATTATTAGGACTTCTTCATTTATCATTTGCATGTTTACGCTTTTTCTTTTATGATATTTAGATTAGGGCACAATATTTTTGACAGATTTATGGACAGATATTTATTAGGTAAGATTTAACTATTTCAGTATTTGCATATACTGTATAGCTGGTAACAATTTAAGATTCTTGCTGTAAAATGCAAGCTATATTTGATTTAAATGGACACTATAGACATCAAACAACATTAACATAATGAAGCAGTTTTTGTGTATAGATCGTGCCCCTGCAGTCTCACTGTTTAATTCTTTGGCATTTAAGAGTTAAATCACTTTTGTTTCTGTTTGTTCAGCCCTAGCCACAACTCTCCTTGCTGTGACATACTCTTTTTCCTGGCACTATAGTGCCCTGAGGGTGCCCCCACCCTCAGTGTCCCACTCCCGTGGCGCTGAAGGAGGAAGGGGTTAATCCCTTACCTTTTTTCCAGCACTGGTCTCTCTCGGCGCTGGGACTCTCCTCCCTATCTTCAGTCATCGGCTGAATGCGAATGTGCGCATTCAGCCAGTCTCATAGGAAAGCTTTCTCAATGCTGGCGTCGCGCGGAATCGCCTCTAGCGGCTGTCAATGAGACAGCCACTAGAGGCTGGATTAACTCATGTGTAAACATAGCAGTTTCTCTGAAACTGCTATGTTTACTGCGAAAAAGGTTAAACCTAGCTGGACCTGGCACCCAGACCACTTAATTAAGCTGAAGTGGTCTGGGTGCCTATAGTGGTCCTTTAACAGAGCAGGAGATAGAATGTGCGATAAAGGACGTTTAAACATTTGCTCTTACTTTACAGGAAGTTGACACATGCACAGAGGTGTGACTAGGGCTGCATAAACAAAGTAAATTAACTATTAAAATGACAGAGAATTGATCAGTGAGCCTGCAGGGGCATGATCTGTACACCAAAACTACTTTATTAAACTAAAGTTGTTTTGGTGACTACAGTGTCCCTTTAATGTATACACTTAAATTAATAAAGGTGGATAAGTGATACTCTAAGCATCATAACCACCGCAGCTTTGTAGTAGTTATGGTGCACCGGTCAAATGGTTTGACAAAAGAGGAGATGCTATTGCTTGGTTTGCAATAAGATATAGATGCTATTGCTAAGCTAGTGTAATGCAGGCAAGCAGTGATTATTAATGAAATATAAGTATCACTGTAGATTCAAGACTGTCTAGGAAAACTGTGCCTAGTCGGTCATTCTTCCACCGTGTAGAGAACATGTTTGTGGATTCTGATATAGGCGAGGGAGTAAGAAAATGTGTGCACATGTGTTAGCAGTCACTGTTTACAGATGTAAGCAATGCAATAATGCAACTAAAATATTTTAACTTTGCTAAAATAACTGACAGAACTGAGATTCTACCTTTGTATTGCGCATAGATTGGTTTAAGTAGCAAACAAGGTAATGGGTTAGTGCAAGAAAGTGATATTTAAAGCTTTGTCAACTCCTACAAATATCCAGAAATTTAGAGAATGCTTCCCTCCAAGTTCCCAACAGTTTAAACATGAGAATGCATGAAAGTTTAAGACTTATAGTTCTGCACCCATTCTACAGCACTGCGGAATTTGTTGACACTTTATTAATAATAATAATAATAATAATAGGTCCGTTTCTGGTAGGGATGCACCGTAATGAATATTCTGGGCCGAAACCGAAATTTCAGGATGCCATTGGCCGAATACCGAAAATTACTTTTTTCCGCAAATGATTTTAAAAAAGTTTTTTTCCTATAATTATGTTAATATTAGACTTTTTAATTAATTTAATTAATCTAATATGAAACACTTCCCTTCTCCCTCAGTGGTCCCCCCTTAATGTTCCTATCCCCTCCCTCTTTTTTAGTGTTCTTTTCTCCCCCCCTCCCCTGTCCCATAGTGTTCTTTTTTTTCTCCCCCCTCCCCTGTCCCAGTGTTCTTTTCTCCCCATCCCATCCCATTGTGTTCTTTTCTCCCCCCATCAATTCTTTTCTCCCCCCCTGTCCCATAGTGTTCTTTCTCCCCCCCTCCCGTCCCATGAGTGTTCTTTTCTCCCCCTCCCTGTCCCATAGTGTTCTTTTCTCCCCCCTCCCCTGTTCCATAGTGGTTTCTCCCCGTCCCATAGTGTTCTCCCCCCCATCCCGAGTGCAGTATTCTTGACTTTGTGTTATCATTACTATCTTTCATTGTGATATATAATGATCTGAATTGAAAATGCAAGTATGTCTGTAAAACTATGCACTACAAAAAACAAAAAATAAATTAATTTATATATATATATATATATATATATATATATATATATATATATATATATATATATATATATATATATATATATATATATTTTTGTTTTTGTATATATAAATTTCTGCATACTTGACCCGATTTCGGACGTAACAGGATAGGCCCATTTTGCATTCCTAGTTCCTGGGGGGGTGGGGTAAGGTGGAGAGAATAGAAAGCGAAAACCCAACTACTGTACCTTTTAAAGGCCTCTGATGGATTACGTTCACATTCCCCAGACTGTAGAAAACTCTGCACAGAAGGATCACTCAATTTCTCCTCATAACCTGGCATCAGTCCACCCCGACTAATCTGATCAATTAATGACCTGATAAAGCTTCCAACGCAAAGGGTGTCCGTGTCTTGGGCCTTGCAAAAATGAAACGCCAGAACCTGCCGATGTAGACCTCTTTGCAAACCTGCAGGGGAACTAGGCCACAGCAACTCTGTACAAAGAGCCGTCTTTCCGCTACCTGGGCCGCCAACAAACAATAAACCCCAAGCTGACCCTTTTCCTGTGTTGCCGCCATTGCTCCCAGAATTTGCCACAAGAACAAGTTTGTTTGCAGAAGAGGTGATGCAGTTTGCTTTTTCCTGCAGACAATGCTGAAGCTTGTGGAAAATCCATTCCCTGCAGTAGAAAGGTTTTCCTTGAAGCAAACTGGTCTGAGCCATTGTGGCTACTCCTCTTGAAATTGAGAGCTCACCAAATATTTTGATTCTTGCTTTGCATTTGAAGCCAAATAATGCTTGGGGCCAAACAGGGACCTAAATTCCAGTAGTGACATATCCTAAACATGAAACAGCAGTGGAATGCAGGGTGCATTCAATGATTCCAGTACAACATCACTTCTTAAGGTATTCCTCATGTAAAAATTCTACACGGTCCCCGGATTTTACGAAGAGGTACTTAAGAGATCCAATATTTTGCCTACATCTAAGAGAAATGCTTTTCAGAAGGCTGAAAAAGCCAAGCACTCATCTCTGCATCTGGATTTCATCGAATTGTGCATTCTTTTTAGAACAAGCAGGAGACAATACATCTGGAAAAATGAAATGAGAAGCCAACCGTTAGTATGTGCAAGCATGATTCGTTCCATCAGATCATCACATGCAAATATTCAAATTCAAACTACATTTACATTCCTTTCAATTTCCATATGGTACACAATGTATGCACTTTGAGGAACTACACAAATACCATTATCCTTTCTACTCCAGCCATGTGATTTTAAGTCAATTAGTTTACCTTCTTATAATTACATTTTATAGCAAGTTTATTAACCATTTGAACACCAAAACTGCATATTACATGATATTCGCCACTTGACCTTAAATGTTTCCTAGCCACAAAGCTTTAAATAGTGTGTACATATACAATAGCATGTATATCAATGGTCCTTAACCGTATTTTGAGATATCTGACAGTAGCCTGGTAACTCAACCTTTATAGCAGAATTATCCCAGTTTCAATGCAGCCTTTGCCTCATCAGACAAAGTGCCATTGCTACAGTAAACCTTTTGCTTGAGTAGTTGCCTTGGGCCTGAAGAACTAATTCTGCATGGTGCAATCAATAAGAAGCCACTAAATAGCGAATGGCACCAAGCTTAACAAACTTGTGGTGACACATACATGGGACAGGCACAGAGAATCTAAGGCACAGCCGGTCAAAAGATTTTGTGATCGGACTTCATGATCTGCAAGAGAATTTGCTGTCTAAGTGTTTTTAAGCAGCCTCAGGGATCCATAACAATTCAATGCAGCATTCTAACTCACAGCTCAGAAGGAAATATTATCATATCCTCCCAGCACTGCAAACCAAGAATGAGGCTACACAAGAGGAACAAAAATGGGATCTTTACTACTCGTGAAAGCAGCAGGTTCCCCACTAGACTCTATTGAGAGAATATTTCAGCCACCAATGTCACCCACTTCCTCAATAGTGTAACGGAGAATACATTAAATTGTATGTTTGTGAAGGTGTGCAGCTAATCAATTTGTCATTTCTTATGCGCATGGGAGAGTGGCTGATATGATAAAACTGTGTCTGTGGTTATTAACTAAGCACCAAATCGTGCTAAATAGGCAAAATTGAAGTTAAAAGGCTGATTTGGAAAAAATTCTCCCACCCAGCTACATTCACAGCTTGGCTAATTTAGCGTCATTTTTTACATTCGTATTTTGGCTGGACACAATTTGATGCTTCGTAATTAATCCTATGTATCTCTGTGTCATCACTGAGAATGTTGCCTGCATCCAAACGTTTGGCCTTTGCTCTTGAATTCTAGGTGAATCTGTCAAGGGACAGGATTGTTAGTTAAAGGAACACTATAGTCACCTAAATTACTTTAGCTAAATAAAGCAGTTTTAGTGTATAGATCATCCCCCTGCAGTCACCCTGCTCATTTCACTGCCATTTAGGAGTTAAATCACTTTGTTTCTGTTTATGCAGCCCTAGCCACACCTCCCCTGGCTATGATTGACAGAGCCTGCATGAAAAAAAAACTGGTTTCACTTTCAAACAGATGTAATTTACCTTAAATAATTGTATCTCAATCTCTAAATTGAACTTTAATCACATACAGGAGGCTCTTGCAGGGTCTAGCAAGCTATTAACATAGCAGGGGATAAGAAAATCTTAATTAAACAGAACTTGCAATAAAGAAAGCCTAAATAGGGCTCTCTTTACAGGAAGTGTTTATGGAAGGCTGTGCAAGTCACATGCAGGGAGGTGTGACTAGGGTTCATAAACAAAGGGATTTAACTCCTAAATGGCAGAGGATTGAGCAGTGAGGCTGCAGGGGCATGTTCTATACACCAAAACTGCTTCATTAAGCTAAAGTTGTTCAGGTGACTATAGGGTCCCTTTAATATCTGGTAAAAAAAATACAATGTTAAAATTTATTGTAAAGTATTTGTCAACAATAACAGAGCACAAAACAGGTATAATAACCCAAGAACTATTACCTGTACTTATTTATATTAATCTAAAAGGCCATGGATTTGAGGATACTAACACATCATGTAGCCACACAGGACAGTCATGTGTGCTCTCACTTTAACCTGTAGTATTTCAGATCTGTCTCAAAAGCATTTTGATTTGGATTAGAGGATGCAATCTGTGGCCGTGCCACGCATGGGACTTCACTTGGGCAATACTGGAGGCCAGCCAGTAACTGCATGTGGGATTTTAATTTTAGTTTTTATATAGAGCCACCATTCAACTAGCACAATGTTTAGAAAAAAATATGAGTAGGAGATGTAAATGAGAAAGTCACATTACGTGTGAAAGCCAGAGACCCTTTAAAAAAACAACATGCAAAAACAAATGCATTTCCCAGGCTTGGGAATATAGCTGAAGGAAAAATTTAGCTCCAGTTCAAATTCCTGACCTTGAGCAAAAGAAAAACAAGGAGCATGTGGTCTATGCATTTAAAATTCTGCCTATAGTAGGTCAGTGCTCTAAGTTTCAATTAATTAATCATTCTACTATAAATCAGTGTTAACGAACAAAAACTTCACAGTTAAAGTAGAACTACAACTCACATGACGCTCTGCCTGCCACCAACGTATTTTTCTTTTATTAGAACTGCTGAGAATCAGCAAACCTGCAGTTTCATCACAACTAGAGGACTAGCTCCTGATTAACACAGCATTAATCTAAATGTTCAGCATAAGCAGCATCCAATTTTCATTAACATGTATCTTTACATCACATACACAAACTTGGGCTAAAAGAGAAAAAGAAAACAATTTACAAATTCTCACAAATTCAGTTTTTTTGGTTCAATGCTTAAGCAACTTAAATTTTATTTATTCTTCTAATTGTGAAATGAATCTAGTATACAAGAGGATCATAATATCTCTAATCACCCACACACAAAAAAAAAAAAAAAATGAAGATGACCTCGGCTGTATAATAAACTGGTATGGAAGCCACTGATGATGCCACAACCATTCGTGTGTTTATTACCATTTAATAGCCTGTGTATTCTAGCAACCAATATTAAGGGGGAAGGGAGAGAGAATATATATATATATATATATATATATATATATAAGAAAGTGATAACATTTATACTAAGATATTACATAGGACATAAAAAAAATAAAAAAAACAGTATAGGCAATATAAGCAATCTAAAAAAATACATTCACTTGCAGCTGTCAGCAAATCAATATACCAGTCCTCCATTTGGAAATTCAAAATTACCGGTACACAGAAGTTATTATGCACTGCAAAACACAGTGTAAGTTATGGGCTTGGTCTGTCTAGAATCCAATTTCTATTAGCACAGGAGCTATGGTCTGCTGCAGGTTTTCCATGCCAATATATGGAAACTGTCTACTTCAAACAATGTCTGCTGAGTTTATCAACTTGCTGGAATTGTCTGCATTAATGGGAGCATGGATTTTTAATTAAAAAAACAACAAACAAAAAAAAACTAAAGCAAATACCCCTTAGACCTTAATGATCAAGATACTTTACAGTTGCCAACAAAAATCTCAGTAACTTATAAAATGCATGGACTGACAGATCACTTACTGAGCCACAAGCGTTCCTCATGAACACATTTTATTTGCACCTAGACAGATTTGGCCCAATATTATGGAAACACAGGTTGAGAGGCCATGAGCTCTTGCATTGCAATGTTATATATAACTTATAGTAAAACTGTATGCCTGCTTGTATAAAGTAACCTACTAAATCTGAAATGAATGTATGCATACATACATACCAAGCAACACCAAAAAACAGACTGTCACATTTCACTCACCAGTTAGCAGAGCACACCTATCAATTTCCAAACTACAGGGCCTGACAGCAGTCAGCTATGACTTAACCCTTCACATACCCTACTTGTAACATGAGCCCAGCTGTGGCCTGTAATATACCACTTTATTTGCATGGGGTTGTGGTGATTTCTCAATCTGGATTTTTATGCGCATTGCTGTGGATTTATTACCCTCTTCCTCCTCCCCTGCATAGCCCTTGCTCTTTGTGCTACTGAAGACCCCCTCAATCCCCCTTTTTTTATTTTGTGTGCAGAGACAGGTCAGCTCCAGCCATTGGTGCCTGACCATGCACACGTACACAGGGGGGCTGAGAGCACACATACAATAAGATAGTAAAGTGACATGCAGAGCAAGGCCAGAGACCCCACCCCGGGGAAGTGGGGGGGATCTTTTGCAGCTGGGACTGCAGCGGAGGAGGTGACTGGCAGCAGTGTACAAACCAGACCTGTGTGCACATGTGTGCAAGGCAGCCCTCCTCCATCACACAGAGGAGGGGGAGGAGGCAGGGTGCCCCCAGCTGTGGCAGAACAGCTGGGGATCTAGCTCTGTCTCCATGTGTACCTGCTGGTTAGGGGATCCCACGTCTCTGACTGTCTCACTTTAACAAGACCCCTAGATTGGGAAGTGCCAACTCTGCCCATTAAACCCACCATGTAGCCAGCCCTGACAGCAGTGTGCACAGCCTTCCCTGGACCCTGCACACATGCACTGCAGACCAGGGCTGGTCACTGGAGAACTCCAGCTGCTGCAGAACTACAACTCCCATGATGCTTTGCCAGTTTTATAGCTGGTGAATGAAGTTGGGAGTTGTAGTGTACTATAGATACCCCAGTATGTAAGGGGCATGGTGTTTGTATGACATGGCATGCAGTCCCCGTCCCTCCCGGTACATACTGTGTGTGCATGTGTCATGTATGCAGGGAAATCAGTGTCTGCTTTACTGTATACAAACAGCCCTGTCCCATACACCGCCCCCCTCCTACCTCCATCCGGTCCGGGGGTGCTGTCTACCCCAGGGTGGGGTATTTGCCTGCAGCTCGGGTGGAGGGGGCAGACACCCCGGATCCTGCCTCCACCCTACCCAGGGCTCTCTGTCTCCGAGTCCTTCTCTTTGTTTCTGCTCTCTCTCTCGGTGCTCAGTCTGGCTGTGCAGGGCTGCTCCTCCCCGAGCCGCCGGATCTCCGCCTACAAACAGCAGGAGGGGACGGCGGCCAGGCAGCGGGATGGAGGATCGATGCTTTGGTCTCTGGCCACTCCTTGCTCCTGGCGTCAGCCACATTCCGCTCCCAGGGCCTGCGCCGCGCTGCATCACGGGAGATGTAGTTTTCGAGGATCTGCGGTGGACTCGGTCACGTGACCAAGCGTCCTGGTGTAACCCTCCCAGGGCTCAGCTCACTGACTGCTAAACATGGGGAGTCTCTCACTGTCTGCTAAACATGGGGAGTCTCTCACTGTCTGCTAAACATGGGGTGTCTCTCACTGTCTGCTAAACATGGGGAGTCTCTCACTGTCTGCTAAACATGGGGTGTCTCTCACTGACTGCTAAACATGGGGAGTCTCTCAATGTCTGCTAAACATGGGGTGTCTCTCACTGTCTGCTAAACATGGGGTGTCTCTCACTGACTGCTAAACATGGGGAGTCTCTCAATGTCTGCTAAACATGGGGTGTCTCTCACTGACTGCTAAACATGGGGTGTCTCTCACTGACTGCTAAACATGGGGAGTCTCTCAATGTCTGCTAAACATGGGGAGTCTCTCACCGACTGCTAAACATGGGGTGTCTCTCACCGACTGCTAATCATGGGGAGTCTCTCACCGACTGCTAAACATGGGGTGTCTCTCACCGACTGCTAAACATGGGGAGTCTCTCACCGACTGCTAAACATGGGGTGTCTCTCACTGACTGCTAATCATGGGGTGTCTCTCACTGACTGCTAAACATGGGGTGTCTCTCACTGACTGCTAAACATGGGAAATCTCTCACTGACTGCTAAACATGGGGTGTCTCTCACTGACTGCTAAACATGGGGAGTCTCTCACTGACTGCTAATCATGGGGTGTCTCTCACTGACTGCTAAACATGGGGTGTCTCTCACTGACTGCTAAACATGGGGAGTCTCTCACTGACTGCTAATCATGGGGTGTCTCTCACTGACTGCTAAACATGGGGTGTCTCTCACTGACTGCTAAACATGGGGAGTCTCTCACTGACTGCTAAACATGGGGAGTCTCTCACTGACTGCTAAACATGGGGTGTCTTTCACTGACTGCTGGGAATGCGGTGTCTCTCACTGACTGCTAATTGCTAACAAAAAAGAGAATGCACACTAGAATCACTATAAAAAGTTATGCAAATGCTTTAATAAGCCCAATAAACGGTACAGCAAATATAAAGCAAAAATACAAAGTGACAATATAAGGCAAAATAAAGCATACAGTAATAATTACCACAATTCTCATAAGCCTATTATGGCAGAAACATCAGCCCCTAATATCTCCCAACATTTTGGCACCTCCTGGCTGCCTTTATCCAGGGTGTTTATATCTCACTGACTGCTAAACATGGAGTGCTTCTCACTGACTGCTAAAAATGGCGTGTCTCTCACTGACTGCTAAACATGGAGTCCTTCTCACTGACTGTTGTGAATGGGGTGTCTCTCACTGACTGCTGGGAATGGGGTGTCTCTCACTGACTGCTGGGAATGGGGTGTCTCTCACTGACTGCTGGGAATGCGGTGTCTTTCACTGACTGCTGGGAATGCGGTGTCTTTCACTGACTGCTGGGAATGCAGTGTCTTTCACTGACTCCTGGGAATGCGGTGTCTCTTACTGACTGCTGGACAACGAGGGCCTCTCACTGACTGCTGGACATGGGGTGCCTCTCACTGACTTCTAAACATGGAGTCTCTCTCACTAAACCTGGGGTACCTCTCACTGACTGCTGGGCATGGGGTGTCTCTCACTGACTGCTAAACATGGAGTCTCTGTCACTAAATATGGGGTTCCTTCCACTGACTGCTGTACATAGGGAACCTGTATATGGGTAACTCTGAATGACTACAGGGCATGGGGTAACTGTATAGGGGTAATTCTCAGTGACTGCTAAATATGCAGTGCCTGTATATGGGTAGCTCTTATTGCTGGGAATGGTTTTAAGAATAATTCAGTTTCATAATATTGATTGTTTTTGCAGAGATGTCAGGTGTTTAAAGTGTCCTCAAAAATAGTTACTTTGTCTTCATATCGCATAGTACAATGTGTCTAGAACTAGCGTTGCTATTTTTTCCATTTGTTTTGTAGTGTTTTTTTGTTTAAAAAGTCTAGCTAACCTTGAGAACGGTGCACAAAGAGCACTACCAGAGAGTTCAAACACCTGCAAGAGGAATGCTGGGAGCTATTCTGCAAATTAAAGAATTTGGCTACTTAATATATGCTGTGCACAGCCCTGTTTTACCACTAAGAGATTTATTATTTGTGAGGCAGCTGGTTTTTACTGAGGTGAGAATTCAAAGAGTGTTAAATTTACAATTGTGACGATACAACCCTAATATCGTCCGTGGGTACTTCCATTAACTTGCACAGCTGATCACTATACTAAGTGCTATGACTTGGGCTTGGAATCTCTTTATCTACCAGCACTCACATTAAAGCAGATCTTGGATAGTTACAGCAAGGAAAGAGACAACCAGCTTTGTTCTTGGTACAAACAGCAACTACCTTTATTTTCACTTGACATCAGGATATACAAACTATATTTCCTTTCCCCATCTGCAAGTCCGCCTCGACAGAAGCATACCTAGATCGGCCATACAGATATCTCATAATGGGCTCTGCATCTTGTGCCATGTGACACATTAAAGTCTCTTTTTTTGTCACATTTCTCCCCCCCAAAGAAAGTCCTGCTGCTAGGCTGGGCTCCTACTGCCCGGGCCTCTGTTCTCCTAGACAGTCCGTCAGCATTGCCATGCTACTGGTCTTTGCAATATTGGATGGTAAAATTGTACTGCTGAAGTGCAAAGCTCCACCTCAGCAGTCACCCATTGTCACCTGCCACTCGGTTTAGCCAGTGAGGGCCTCCATCCTCTCCCTGGTTCAAATACATAGGGGACTACTAGTACTTCATAGTGTATGTAATCCCTCTCCCAAAACTAGCACTAGCCGACCAAACAGAAGCTCAAATGGAGTGAACCCTGTGGACTCTTGAGGAACCTTGCGGTAGGTGAACAATAACAAAGGGAGTAACTTCTCCCAATTTGGTTCGCTGTCTGCGAAGCTCCGGAGCATGTCTTTAAAGTGTCATTGAATCGCTCACAGAGTCCATTGGTCTACGGGTGGTAAGGAGCAGACCCGAGCTGCTTAACACCACAGTGTTGCCCGAGCTGATGCACCAGCTCCAACATAAATTGTGTGTGTACGAATAAATGATAAAAATGGGATGCTGCCTGTACGTTCAAACTTTATCCACTGCTACTAGAAAGGAATATCTCTATGTAGAGAATAGTTCAAACAAATAGGCAGCAGTGATAGAATAACACAGGAGAAGCACTGGCAATGGTAGATATGGGGGGATATGATAGAAACATTTAAATATATAAAGGGAATCAACACAGTAAAGGAGGAGACTATATTTAAAAGAAGAAAAACTACCACAACAAGAGGACATAGTCTTAAATTAGAGGGACAAAGGTTTAAAAAATAATATCAGGAAGTATTACTTTACTGAGAGGGTAGTGGATGCATGGAATAGCCTTCCAGCTGAAGTGGTAGAGGTTAACACAGTAAAGGAGTTTAAGCATGCGTGGGATAGGCATAAGGCTATCCTAACTATAAGATAAGACTAGGGACTAATGAAAGTATTTAGAAAATTGGGCAGACTAGATGGGCCGAATGGTTCTTATCTGCCGTCACATTCTATGTTTCTATGTTTCTATGTTTCTATGTTTCTATTAGAATTTGCTAAACCAGCTTCCTGTTATTCAAAAACAGACCATCTAAACAACCCAAAAATTGTTAATCAGAGTGGGTAAAGACAGGTACAAAGTAGACAAAGCCCCTTCCTATATATACCCAGAGAGAACTGCTCCCCCTTCTGCTGCTCAAAAGACTGCTCCTTATATGGAATGAACATCTCCAAAATAATAGGTAGCAAAAATAAAAGTTAAGGCAATTCAGAGAGGTGAAGCGTACTGTGACGAAGTGCCCTCGCCACTTGGTACTGGAGAGGCCTGCTTGCCAGCCTCCTCCCCTGTGACTATGACTCTTTGATGTATTTGCCTTTAAAGCCCCTGTTCTACCCAGGGGCGGATCCAGAACCAAATCTCGGGAGGGGCACTTAAGTGGGCTAGAGCGGGGTGAAACAGGCTGCAGCGGAGGAATAGGGGACTCTTGTTTAGGGGATAGAGGCTGTACACATATGCGGCCACACACAGTGATATGGAAACACAATAACAGATACAGACACATACACTGGCACACCCACAGATACAAACCTATACCTACACAGGCACACACACACATACTGGCACATAGATACACACATACCTACACATGCACACTGGCGAAACCGCACACACACATCCCTACACATACACAGAATGACACACATACCTTCACATACACAGATACAAGGTAATAGAATATACAGGCATAACTCCAGGTACTGAAGGTGTATTTATTGGAGGGTAGAACACGTTTCAGCCCTTGGGGGCCTTAATCATGTTTAAGTCCCTCTAGGGCTGAAAAGTTGCACTTTTATGTGGTGTTCTACCCTCGAATAAATACACCTTCGGTACCTGGTGTGTTGCCTGTATATTCTATTACCTTGTATTGTTGGACGGATTAGCAGTGTCTATCTATTCCAGAGCACCTTTGAGGCTGTGGACCAGAGTGAAAAGCGGAACCTGAGTGCAGTGGACGACGTTGTCTGTGGTACACACACAGATACATACTCACAGATACACATTAACACTCACAGATTCACACACTGACACTCCGATACACACAGATGTCCACATACCTAAACATACACACAGATGTCCACATACCTAAACATACACACAGATGTCCACATACCTAAACATACGCACTGGCACACAGATGCACACATACACACTGACACACACAGATGTCCACATACCTAAACATACGCACTGGCACACAGATGCACACATACACACATACCTAAA